AAGCAGGCCACCTGCTCCGCCTCGGGGCACTTGAAGCGCTCCTGCGGCTGCTGCGGCACGCCCAGGTAGGAGGCGTAGATGATCTGGCTGCGCTGCGCCACGCCCGTCTGGTTGGCGTGGCGCATCTTGAAGTTGGCATTGGAGAAGCCCGCCTGGTTGTTGGGCGTCATATTGCCCGCCTGTGCCGCCTGGCCCTGCTGGTTCTGCATGTAGGTGCAGTAGAGCTGCTGCTGCCCGTTGGACTGCTTCTGCGGCGAGGCGTTCTTCGAGAAGATGTTGGGCAGCTGGTTCTGCGCGCCGCCCGCTGTGCCGGCGCTGCCACCGAAGAAGTTGCCCGACGGCCCGAACTGCTGCGGCACAAAGAAGATGCCACCGGCATTCGATGAGCCGCCAAACTGGGCGCTCTGCATGCCCATAAACGAGGGCGTGGGCGACCACATGGGCATGCGGAAGTTGGCAGGAGTCATGTAGAAGCAGACGGGTATGCTGGGCATGCCGAAGCTCGGATTGAACATGAACTGGGCAGAAGCCTTCATCGTCTCGCCAGAGACGGGAAACCCGCCAGGCGCCCGACTCGTGAACTGCACGGTCGGCGAGGCGGTGTACGGCTCATGGCTGTCCGCCTCCTTTGCCTCGGCGGCCTCCTTCAGCTGCAGCTTGCGGGACAAGTGCTCGCATATGGTGATGAGCTGTGCATCGGCAGCTGCAAGAACAGAGAATCACTATAAATGAGGGCTTATAAAGGGAGTATCTATCGAAGTGCTTTACCGTTTGTCACCTTGCCACTGACGGGATTTATTTTGGGTCCCAGCTGCTTCAGACTCTGAGTGTCCTGCTCCGTGCCGAATGTGTCGATGAGCTCGTCCTGCTTCGGCGCTGCCTCCTTCTCGAACTGCTTCAGCCAATGCTTTCGGTCATAGATATCCCAACTCTCCGACTCCCCAAGCTTTGATGTGTCGTTGCTGGGCAGGACGTGGATCAGCGGCTTCTCCTCCTCATGGCGCTCAAAGCTCTCCAGCATGTTCTCAATACTACTTGGATTGTCCAGCGGGTGCACTACGCGCGCACCTTCAGTGGTGCTCTCAGTGGTGGTTTCAGTGGCTACGGCTTCGGTTGTGGCAACCACCATGTTTTCAATGCTCGCGGGATTGTCTAAAGGATGTACCTGAGGTGCTACTTCCGTGGTTATTAGAGTGGTGCTCTCAGTGGTGTTGTTGGTGGTGGCTTCAGTGACCGCCGGGGCTTGAGCTGTAACAATTATCATATTTTCCATGCTCGATGGATTATCTAATGGATGTGCGTCAGCTGCCCACCCAGAGGAGTTGTTGGTGGTTATGTGAGTGGTGCTCTCAAATGTAGATTCAGTGGCAGCTGTTTGAGTAGTTTCAGTCAGCATATTTTCAGCTTCAGTGGTGCCCGTGATGGCGGTTCGATTGCTGCTCTCAGTTGTGATGCCAGTTGGTGTGGGTTCGGTTGTGTCAGTGCCAACGTTCTCTATGGTTGTAGGTGGGTATATAGGTGACGACGCGACTTCAGTTGCACTCTCAGTGGTGTTGGGCGTGATCGTGCGAGTGGTGGTTACTGTGGTTGGTGCTTGAGTTGTGCTACTCTCCTCATCGCTGTTCACATAGCCGTCAATTATCCAACTGATTTTGATTGGCTTGGGCTTAGTCGGATAGGCGGTGTGGTTGGCGCCATCTGTAGCTTCGGTCGTTGTGGTTGGTGGAGTGGTAGTCGTTATTGTGGTTGTGGGTATCACTGTAGTGGTGCTAGTTGTGCTCATCTGCACTTTACCCTCCACCTCTTGACCTGCTACGCTCTTGTGTGTTGTTGTCTCTTTCGGCGCTTTGGCGGTGGTTGCGAGTGGTGCAGGTGCATCTGTTGCTGTTTGCTCTTTCACATGGCTATCGGAGTGCAATGGAAGTGACTCATGTTCGATGCTAGGTGGCATAGTGGTTTCTATGGTGGTTTTATCCATTGTTCGCTCTGTGGTGTGAATAATTTCTTTGGGCTTATCAAAACGATCCAAGATCCAAGTGATTTGATCTGTTATGTTGTCCGATTCGGGTGCCTCAGTGGTAAGAATTGATAAAAGATGGCTGGTGGTGCTAGTAAAGGGGCTGATGTGGCTGGAGGTGGTTTTATCAGAGGCTGGCGGAGATGGAGAAACAGTAGTGAAGCTGTGATTACTATTAGGTGTTGTTGTAGTTGCCTCCACGTCCATCATTGTCGTAGGTATGGTGCTCTCCATTGTTGTTGTACCGAAAGTAGTTGTCGTTCCGTTGCTCAGGTCCAACATAGCTCTGGGTGTATTCTCGACATACGCTTCCTGCTCGTCGTGTCCGGGTCCATCGATAATCCAGCTGATCTGCGCTGGTTTTATCTTGACTCTATTGGGCTTCACTGTCGTCGTCTCCTCGTTGTCCCCATCGCCAGCTGCGCTGCTGTTTGCGAGCGGAGTCGTCACCTCCTGCAGTAGATCGACTGTTGCGTTCGTCGTCGCCTTGGCCGGAGCATATGGCTCAAACTCATGCGACTCGACGCTGTGTGAGTCCAGGTGATCCCGAATGATTTCCTTCATCTTGTCAACCTTTTCGGTTACCTCCTTGGCCATCTGGTACATGCGCATGAAAGCCGACATGCAATTCTCTGGTGTCTGCTTCTTGCACCTCACGTACTCCGTTTCAAGCTGACTCAACACTGCCCGGGCACGCTTGTTGCGCATCCTGGTATACAGCTGCTGCATCTTGGCCTCTAGCTGGATGGGATCAAGCAAATCTAAAGACTGCAGACTGCGTCGCGAGCGAAGCTTCAAGCGCTTCATGCGAAACTTGAGGCGCAAATGCTTTAAGCGCAATAGCTGCTCCTCGCTCTTGGTTGCAATCGGCTCGGAATCAGATTTCCTCAGCGGTAAACGAAAAGGTTCCAATTGCGGCCCTATTACGACCGGCTTCTCATCAATGGGTTGCACATGACGCGCGTGTTTCTGATTGAGCGACATTATTTGGCGCAAGCGATCTGCATTGGAGGAGTTATGCAATACATATTTAAATAAATTATTTGTCCGAAGCTGTTGTTGCTCTATTTACCCATGCGCTCCAGCACAATGCCATAATAGATGAGTGAGATGAGTAATGTCGCTATGACCGCCAGGGATATGATCAGAATACGCGTATAAGGCAGGCGAGAATTGCCGGCCCGGCGTAAAAGACGCAGCGAACGCTTCGCTTCGAGTTCTGGGAAAGCGTAATAGATCGGCAGTGAATCAATTTTAATTGTAATCTATAAAGTCGGGCTATGATAGCGATTTGTAGTATTTATAGGATTATAATATATTCATTTGCTGAACAGATTTCTGTAAAATATTTATCAGTTACCCTGTACCACTCTGTCTCTCTATCTTAATCTCCTCGCTCTTCCTCTCTCTATTTTTCACTTGGCAAAACTCTTTAATTTAAGTGCATTCCTCTTATCACAACTGGCAGGGTATAATCCAGTCGATACCTTCTTATATATGCACTCGTATATTGTAGGAGTCTAGTTGAACTCATTTTTGTATTGCTGTGCATTGAATTATGTTTAACAACTTATTAACTTAAACAACAACAACTCAACATTTTTTTTTTGTATCGAAAGTATTTTCAATTTCTTTTCATATATACATTTTGGTCAGCGAGTTCTCTGCCGAGAAGTTTCGCAACTTGAAGAAATGCTGATGCACTAAATTATGGAAACTGAACAAAATGAAAACATAAGCTTAAATAGCTGCCAGGTATTTAAACTTCTTTTTTTATGGTGATTTAAAAAGAACATATCTATAGATTTGATAATTAAAGCTATTAAGATTTACTTTTATATTTAAATAATTTTAATGCAAAGTCTGACATACCATCCAAACTTGGATTCATTTTAGTTAGATTTATATATTAACAATATATTTTATTAAATTATTAAATGCATATTTTTATACACTTTTCTCGTTGAGATTTCTGATATATCTCTTTTATTTTATTTATTTTTTTAAAATTATATTTCACTATGTTACACTTGTTTATTACACAGAAGACGAACACACAAAAAAATGAAGGATCCAATTACAGCGATTCACTTAAACAAAAATCGGAAACGAATAATCCAAATTGGGCTGACGGACCGACCGGCTCTAAGTGGTAGTATACGATATAACTGAATAACGACGATTTCGAATGCGAGCGACTTCCGCGCGCTCCAAGCGGCAACTGAAGACATCGACGGAGCCGGGCGCGCTTTTGAAGCTTTTGGAAAGTGGATCAGCTTGTGTGCGACCCACTTTGATGGTGGCGCATTTTGCTGTGCTGTGTACAAAATGTTTTGAACTTTACAATTTTTTGGTTAATGAAAATTGCAATTGAAATTGCGAGCGATGCACAAAAATGCGTTTAGAGTGCAAGTTGAAGGGAATGGCGATGGCAACAGAGCAACGAACCACCCACCAGAGGCCAACCAACAACGCATCGATTTCAGTATCAATTGGGTTTCATTTTCTGCTTTGGATGGCAATGCCCCTTGTTGGGGTCGAGCATGCCTTGATCTTTTGGAATTTCAGTTGTCATTTTACAAATTTTGTACACTAAAAACGTACAACAAAAATATTTTTTTAGTTAAAGACCTAGAAAAACAGACACGCAAATAAATATACCCGTTAATAAAAAAACCTCCATGAAAACTTCCGAGGAAATAGTCCAAATCAAAATTTTATTATCAGATTTATTGTAAGTAAATCTAGTTCATATTCATTTACCAATTAATCATTCTTCATTTGTTATTTAGAAATCACTCACAAAAAATTGATGCAAAATTCAGTAAAGTGTCTGCTTTATCAACTACTGCGATTAGTTCACCTCGCACAACGGGTGAGCAAGATGTGCGGTACAATTCTATACTCTCAGTCGAGCCAGAGCGAATGGTGAGTTATTTCTAAAGTTATATCTTAAGTATAGCTTTAAAATAAGCAGTTATACAATGTTCTTCAAAATAGTCGATAACTCGTTCAGTTTACTCATTTGGTTCAAAATTAACGTAACAAATAGGATTTCGATAATTCATTCATATCGAGTACTTGTAAATCAATATCAAAAGTTAATTAAGTTATAGTCATTCTTCTTAACTATATAGCCCGCAATGCGAGTGGTACTTAGTAAATAGAAAATATGGTTTATAAAGTGTTTCAGGCTAACTTGCCGTCCGCATTTGGAATTGGCTTGTTAGTGGGAAAGCGTTCGTCATAGACCAGTTCCATCAGCTGGCTAAATAGCTCGCGAGTCATATTGTTGCTGACACGCATTAGCATAAACCAATCGGCGCAACTAAAATTAGCAATGGCGCGTTTCAATGTCAATTGGGGCATGAAGCGTGTTTGGGCGCGCAGCAGTTGAAAGCGCAGACCACGATGGAAAATGACGATAAGACGATAGATGATCTTCAAGCCTGCCAAAATGGCCATTAGAATAAACCAGATCCACATGAAAACAAAGATTTTCTCATTCAAATTGTTGAGCGGCAAAAGGCACAGATTGTCAATAGATTCCAGGGTGCCGCTGGAGCCGAATTTCAATATCTCGCATTTCGCTATTTTGGGAAATATGTGCGTTGTGATCCGATTCCATTCATCCCAGTTATAGGCCGGCACTGCAGCCACAGCCTTCACATAGCGCGACCAGAAGTCATCCAAGAACACATTCAGCAGCAGCATGTTGATAATCTGGAATAGAAATCTAATTAACTAAAGTTTTGGGTGATGCAGCTGATTGACCTTACGCTAATTATAAAGTTGCAAATTTCACAGATTATATAGGAAGTGAAATAGCGGAAATGTGTGTCCTTGTAGTCGCTGGTAAAATATTTGGCCAGCTTGCGCAGATGCGCTGTAGTCTTCTCTTTCGATTCCAGCACATTATCCAAGTTGGAACAGAGGCTCTTCATGCGCCCGCCCTCCCAAATCTTCCACAGAAATGCTGGCAGATAGAAGATAATCGACTGCAGCAACAGGACGGGCACCACCCATTGATAATAGCGTAGAAAGACGCGTTCTTGTGGAATTGAAGGATCCGCAGTCAACGGAGCAGCGTTATGTAGCAAGTTACTATCCATTTTAGGCTTAAATTCGGCTCTAAGAAACTGGTTCTTATAATCCCTCTCAATTTTCTTCTCTTGTTTGTCCGCCAATTCGTCATTTTCGTAGTTCATTATATACATCCCCAATGTCCAGCAATGGGAGTTTACAAAGTCCTTGTCGTTCATGTTTGATATGCAAACTAGTGGATCCCCGAAATATTGTTTTGCAGATAGCAAAACTGTGAAAGCCAATAAAAGGGCGCAAGTTACTTTAGCGTGGAACGTGAAAATGCCATCGTAAATGCGAACCGACTTCAGTTGCAAATACTTCGAAAGTGGCTTAACTGCCGTATACATATTTAGCACTATTTATTAAATATCAACAGTCAAATGTTTAATTGTACGCTTCCTCCTCACTCATTCGCAGAATTTCTTAAAAACACGCGGCACTATAACGGTTAAAGCGGATAGGGTTCAGCAACTGTTGCGGTTAGAGATGCGCATTTCTGTAAACGCTTTTTGAGGAGCAGTTCTGTTAACTGAAATGCTGCTCCTCAGGTATCGCTTCTGTTAAAGGTGTAAACATATAATAATTCTGAATTAATTCTATATTCATTTCATTGTTAGACGGAATATTATTTACAAAATAATTATTTATGTTATTCAACAAAACAAATATATTGATACATTCAATTTTTTAAAACGAGTTATGGGCAAATTGTATCTCATTATCAGCAGCAGAGCAACATGTTAGCATTAACATAAATGCAACAGCTGGTTCATTTGAACTTATTCTCAGAACGAATCAGAAAACCTATAGAACTCACATGTGTTTTCATATCTCTTGTATCGTGCAGTTTATCCAACAGGCGAATGAAGATGAAAGAACAACAATCGTCCAAGCAGCAGGAGCGTAATGAGAAGAAGAAGAAAAAACTGGCAGCGCTGGCAAATCTAATACAGTTGAACGACAGGGATCGCATGCATGAAGCAGAGCAGAAACATCGCGATAATGAAAACGAAGATGAGGTGGATGACGGCTTTATCACAGTGTGCAGCAAGCGAAAGACACGAAATCGTCTAACTATTATTGCAGACAGCAGCGGTGATGCTGCTGCTAACGCCGATGCTGGTGAGGCGGACCACGATGAGCCAGAAATCAAGCGCAGTCGCAACAATTCAGCAGGCGGCGACAATATGCTTGTCGACATGCCGACCACACTCACCCAGGAGCAATACAGGTCTCTGTCCACGGATCTGCGTCGTCGCAAGCGCGAACTGGAGAGTGTGCCAGGCGTGCATCTACGTGAGATGGGCCGACGTGCACTTCTCGAAATACCTCAGCAGGAACGAACGCCCATATTCCTGACAGACATACAGCATCTGTTGATGTCAGCGCTCATTGGTAAGAAGAGTCCATGCGCACCCGATCGCTGGTGCTGTGCCGACAAGTTCCAGAGCTTATCGCACAGCGTGGTGCTCATATTGGATGGCCTATCGCTCTATCACTATATGTCGAATGAAAGCCGTTTCGAGGCTACCAATAGGATATTCGATACAAAGCTTGAGGTGGTGCTGCCACCGCGTGAGGAGGGCAGGATCATTGATACAATTGCGCAGGTTAGTCGATGACATAATTTCATTAAGCGAATTCAATTTAAATGCTATCGCCTGTGTTTTCAGATTCCCCTTACCAATGTCCAGGCCCAGAAGCTGATTAACGAGCACGGCTCACTGGAATCAGCTGTAGAGCTGAACAAGGATCCCACGCTACTCGTAAAGGCGATTTTCCCCATTGAGAAACAGTCGCCGTCGACAAAAGCAGAAGCACCAAATTTGCATCCAGACGACAAGTTTCCTCGCACAAAACTATTGCTCTCCGCATTGCAATTGGTCGATGAGGGTTATCCGATACCACTGCAAGGCGAGCTACACGCCCGATTCCAGTCGTTTAAGTTTACAAAAAAATCATATGCTCCAGTTACCGATCGCAGTCCCATGTTCGGCGTTGATTGCGAGATGTGTCGCACAATAACCGGAGAAAACGAACTGACGCGTATTTCCATAGTGGATGAAAAGTATAAGACAGTCTATGAGACGTTGGTGCGTCCCAAAAATAAAATCACTGACTACCTAACACAATACTCGGGCATCACGGCTGACATTATGCAGTCTGTGACGAAGAGTTTGGCGGATGTGCAGCGGGAGGTATCCGAATTGCTGCCGCCAGACGCAATTTTGGTTGGCCAATCGCTCAACTCTGATTTGAATGCAATGCGAATGATGCATCCGTATGTGATAGACACCAGTGTGTGCTTCAACATAAGCGGCGTGCGCAAGCGTAAGAGCAAGCTCAAGCACCTGGCCCAACGATTTCTGCAGGAGAGCATACAGGAGAACGAGGAGGGACATGACTCCATTGAAGATTCACGCGCCACACTCAAGCTGGTCAAGATGAAGCTGGCCAACAGCATTGAGTTTGGCGACGAGATTCTCACACAGCGCAAGCGAATCCATGACATCATCCGAGCCGCCAGCGGCGATGGCCTGCAAAACAATATGTTGGCCCATGCAGCCAAGCGGGACAAGCGCACGGCTATCGTGACTGTTGGTGATCTGCAGCCTGGGCTGAAGGAGGTCATCAGAAAGGCAGAGCAGGCTGCACCAAAGGACAGTTGCAAGACGGTCTACGTGCACGAGGTGTCCAGCACCAAGGAGGCTGTGCGCAAGGTGAACGAAATCGCGCTGGAGAACGCTCTGACCATTGCCAATCTGCTGGTGCCCGAGAAGGATTTTGTGCTAGAAAGTGCTCAGCGCACTGCTGCCAAATTAGATAGTTTCATTGAGCGAGTCTGGAACGCAATGGCCCACAATGGGCTACTCATGGTGCTCATGGGCGGCTCGACTGAGTGTCAGAAAGGCGTAGCCAAATTTGCCATCAAACGCCGCAATGGCATCACAAAGAGCCCTCTCATTACCACTGTTGCAGCTGCAGACTCTTAAACAGGCGAGCATTAGCTACACCCACACACAGACTCATACATGTCATGTACGCTATGTACATACAATCATGCATATACACACAAATGATTTGACGAGTAGAATAGGATAGAAAGTCAAGAAAGGTAGCATACAAACAAACACAATGCCCAATTCCCAATGAAACAATCAAACAGTCCAAGAATTCACAAATTCGCGTCCAGTTTTCGCACAAACCTTTGGTACATGTCGTAGCGCATCAGAGTGAGCAATGTGCTATACGCAAATTAGCTGTAATTTCCATCTGATGTAATGCAAACAAACAAAAAAAGGAAAAAACACCAAGAAAAGAAGAAAAAATACTTTTAGCATTTGTACATTTTCAAGATCGAGAGAACAGTATCAACGTAGGACTAAATTTTCCACAAACAAAAAAAAACCGTAAAAATCTAAGAAAACCCCAAAGACAAAAAACTTAAATTTTTACTTTTGTTTCGATGCAAGCCCATAAATCCATGTTGTTTGTAAATCAAATTAAGAATCAATAGTTGGTTCCGGTAACCAGAACAGTGACACGTTTTCTAATGAAATCCTTAAATAAAGAAAAATAATTGTTATCTAAAATGCCTGTTGTTTACTAAATATGTATGTATAATGAATGAATATGTATGTAATTTTGCATTTTGATTTACATAGTAATACATTGAATACATTAATACTTGAATACTTTTCACACCTCTCTCGTTTAGGATTGTGTCTTGTTTTTCGCATATTTCTATAAGCTAAGGATATTTGAAATGTATTTAAATAAGTATAGCAAATAAATAAATAATCAAAGCAAGGGAGTCATTTGAAAATATCTTATTTTCAATAAATAAAGTATAAATATTATAATTTTTATATTATCTAAAAGTGGCGAATAGTTTACAACTTCCTTCGTAGAGAATCGATGTATATTCATTAATTTTGCGCTTTAGTAGCTACTATATTATGGACAATTATTTATAATATAAGCCCCTCCGTTAAATAGTTTGTTTTCTTAGCACTTCATCTTGTGTGCTTCCTGAATTTTCCATAATTTTTCACAGCTTTATAATTTGTTGTAAAATTCATTACGAAATTATTCTTTGGCAGTTCGGGTGGTTTGGGGGCTGGGGTTTGACCCAGTTTTCGTTAGTTCCCGATTTTTGTTTGTTTTCGTGCCTTTCCCGCGGGCTGCTTCGCTCTCTGTGGATGTGTCTGTGTGCGTGTTTGTCTGATAACAGCTATAAATTTCCTACCTCACTCAACGCAGCGCTCAGTTGTCTAGGGCCCACTAGACCTATCTCCTACCGAAAAAATTGCCACGCTCGCACTCTCTCGCACATAGATTGAGTCTCCCGCTCTTCGTTTTCTCCACTCTCTCGCTGTCAGTCTGAAAGGGGGAAAAGCGAAAGTGTGGCATAGTTGTGCGTAGGCCCGTTGTCGTCATCGAGAACGCGTCTTATCACACGCTCGAATATGTTGCGCCTTGCACTGAACAACAGACGAATACTCATACGACCTGTGGGTAGGCGCAGAGCGGGCAGACGCAGTGCGCATGTCCGTGTCGGAAAAGCTGCGAGAGTTTTCCCCCCAGCACAATGCTGCCAGATGCTCATGTGAAATATGTCAAATAAACTCATTCAAACACATTTCTCCACAAAATATAAATATATATAAATATAAAGCTAAATCAATTTATTCGAACATTCTGTTAACAAGTCCATTATTTCATCCAGAGTTGGGAGCAGGAAACATTCGTTGCGTTTGACATGGAGGAAAACGGTGGCAACGCCGATTTGGGAAATTTGGTATGTTTTTCTTTGGTTTGTTTTTGGCCGCGGATTGCTCAACTCTCGAAATCTCTGAGAGTCTGTGTGTTTGGCTGTGTATGGCTGTCTCTGTGTGAGTGTGTGTAATCCTCATAAAGGCACACCAAATATTTTGTTGTATATACGCTTTTCGGCTCTCGAGCAGCGACGTTGTCGTAGCTGCCTTTCGAATTGCTCTGGCACGGCGCGCGCAAAAAAAAAAGACCTGCTCGATAAATACGCGAAGAGAATATATATACATATATACATATATATATGTATATTCAATATCTATATAATGTCTATAAGAAGATCATCTGTGTGATAAACAAATGCAGTTTGTGTTTTGTTTAAACATTAATCGGGCATATTGCAAATCGATTCGTTTGGCGGTTCGACTAAATAAGTTTCAACGAATTCAAAAGGAATCAGCGCCATTGTCTTAGTATACCATACGATTTGCAGCCATAAACTGGGGTAAGTTTCAATTGGCATCCGCAATCATAATAAAAGCGTTTAATATAAACATAAGCGTGCGATTGGCAAGCATAAATTGTGTATCCATAAGAGACAGAGGCACAGACACAGGCACAGACACGAATACAAACAGATACCCACACACACACACATACACACACACGCCTGCTAAAAGGAAGCAAGCGAGAGTTTCTTACATGTGTGTGTGCGTGCTTGTATATGTAAGCTGTATGTGTGTTAAAACTCGTTCAGTGTGTCAGTGTTTCAGGCAGCAAGAACAACAACAGCAACAACAGCAACAACAGCAACGACAACAGCAACAGTAGCAACATCAGCTGAGGCTGCCTTTCGGCTCGGCTGTCGCATCGCGCATACGCCGCGTTGTCAATTGTTACTTTTCAGCCCATTGTGAGCCGCGTCCATTTGGCTGCAACGCGCCCTTGGCACCGCACTCTCACATCAACATCATTATCAACAACACCGACTGCCAGTTGGTGGCGACCTCAATCCCCGCAAATCCTAACGGCCATCGCTTCGCACTTGATATTGGCTATTGGCCTAGCACCCGCACATACACCACCTTCATACCCTGCAATTTGTTCACAGCTGCCGCCGACTTTCGCGTCGCTGCAAATGAAAATTTGTTCGCTTGCTTTATTTCCCTTATTGTTTGTCGCTGCTGTGATGAGAGCGAGAGCGTGCTCCAGTTTCAGCCCCGCCAGCTGCCCGCCCACCTCCCCAGCCGAACATGGAACATGTTGCGTAGGGCGGGCTTTGCTGAGGGTGAGTTCGTTTTCCACGTTTACTTTGCCGTGTTCTGTTTGTCTTTGCTTCTGGCATTGGCTTGCAGGTGAAAGTTTTTCTCTTTTGTTTTCCATAAGTTTGATTGACTCTTTTTGTTAACTTTAGTTTGAATCATATACTTTATTTATGTCTATGTATATACATGGTGTTTTTATTGATTTTCTGTTATGCTACGGCGGCTACAATTGGTCTAATTTGGCTAATGACTCAATTGTCGGCCTCCCGGAGTGTTTGGCCTCTTGACTGATTGCTCTGACACATTGCTTTGGCATCTTTTGTGTTCTGCCGGCCGCGTCTATGGCTGACTTTTCAATTTCACCATTTTTGTCTGCTATAACACTTGGCACACACCCAACGGAAAAAGCATATTATAGTGCCTGCATTTCGGACTCGTCATTTGTTGTTCTCGAATCGCGCAACTCTTTGCTGCTCAGCTCTAAAGTGCAGCGAAGTAATTTTTATTGTCGCTATTGTTATTAGGCTTTGTGTTAGTGAAGCCAACACGTGATATTCACAGTGGCACTATGTATATGATGTCATTCGAGCACATTGTAATCCTGTCATAGGCCACCTATTCCACGGCTCCGCGCTCTTATCTGCTATGACTCACGGTAAGTCGCCACGAATCGCTGGCTGTGTTGCAAATCAAATTACCACACTGTGCGCCAACATTGGACAGGCTTCAAAACAATTCGTCATGTATTGAGGGCCTAGCAGAGTTCAATCGCATTTTCCACGCAATTAGATGTGAAGTCTCTAAAGGCCCATTAGGTCAGCTTTTATATGTCGACTAGTTCCTAAGACAACTGACGCCACAATTAATGTTTTAGCCAATTTCAAGTGTGCTCCTACAATTTTAGATCTTTAGCTATTCAGATTTTAGAGACTTTGCTGGCGTGAAATATTCATTGGTTGTAACCCCCATTTTCACTTTCTCTTTATTATGTTTTTGGCAAAATTTGAATGCACCGTTTTATTTATAGAGCTGTGGGTTATCGCACTCGGCCACAAACACGCTGAACTTTTCGGTGGCCGGCCAAGTGCTTTATTTTTGGGCCCAGAATTGGACGCCAAATTCTTGGCTCCCCATGCTCTCCGGCTACAGGTACATAAACACTCCCATTGATCATTAGGTGCGTTTTCATTTTCGAAATTCGCTCCGCATATTCGAGTTGTTGTTTTCCCAATGTTTTGTTTGTGTTTGTTTGTTTGCTTTGTAGCTTTGCCGGCTGGCACTTGGAAATAGTTGAGAATTTGTTTACAATTCGCCGCCTTGTGCATAATTATGTTTAATTAAACTAATTAAAAGGCTTTTCTACTTTGCTTCTGGTTGTTGCTTTCCGTTTTTCTGCTTTTTGTATTTTGCGCTCTGCTAATTAATTTTCCCAATGAATACAAATATTTGATCTGTCACTACGTGCTCACGATAATGGCAATCGTAAACGGGTTTTAATGCTCAGCATCTGCTCGCATTTTACATGGAGGAAGCCGCCGAGTCGAATCGTCGCATAGTCACATTGCCCACAAAGCCTGCCACTCAGCTGAGGCACAGTCGAACGCACACAATGTCAAGGTAGAGCGTGCGCGATATGTAACTGTTAACTGTAACGCAGCAGCAGCAGCTTCCGCCGTTACGATGACGACGATGACGACTCATTAACAGTTTTAAGTGAGACCCCAACCTCTCGGTCCAACAACATTGTCATATTTAAATACGTCTTTAGCTCGGGCCACGTTATGCTAGCTATAGCGGGATGTTCCTAGGGCGCGTAGTGTGAGTCATTTCATATACACAGTCAATATACATATTAGGGAAACTGTATAAACACCCATATATATACCAATATTGATATCAATAGATACCTGAGATAATCGATAATATATAACCGATAACAAATAAACGATACCGAATTATCGATAACCGACAACGTGTTATCGATACCCGATAGCAATTTATGGACACCCGATAACAAATTGTCGATAGCATATTATTAATAACCAAATATCTACGAGCGATAACATTTTAACGAATTATCGATAACATATAACAGATTATTATAAACCGATAATATAATCGATAAAAATATCGAAAGCCGATAAAAATACATATACTGATGCTAAGCCAACTTATTAAACCGCCCTCGCGTGTATGCATTTCTACTTAGGCAGCTGCAGCTTTGCCATGGCCTTGGATGCTGATAAATGTTGCTATTGTTGCTTCGCCATTGCCGGCTTTGGCTAAACTTTTCATTCGTTGTTATCTATAAAATTTTTTTTTGCTCATAATTCGTGGGCAAACAGAACGCGTCGACAACAATTACAGTTGTCAAATATCACGCATAGGCTGGGGTGAGGCAGGGGCCGCAACGCCCACGCCACACAGCCCGAAATCCAGAATCGAACGCAGTGGCACACCCAACGCCCACGCTCACGCCCAGATCGCTGCTCTGCAATCGCTTTGATAATTTGAAAATCAAACATTGATTGTGGCTGCGGCTCTGGCTGCGGCTACATTCCGTTTTATTTGGCACAAAATTATTTATCTATTTGCTGTTTGCCGTTTGCTGTTTGCCGAATAAATTACATTGATAATTGAGTCGTTTCACTCGCAGTACTGCTGTCCATTTCCGCTGCACTTCCAGATGGAAAGTCTTGTAATTTCATTAGTCAATTTCAGGGTTAAGGGCTTCACATATGTAGTTAAAGTCAGATCAAATAAAATTTGATATGCTCTTACAAGGAGCTGATTTTTCTGTAAATATATTTTTGCTGAATTGCAAATTCCTTGAATAATTAGTTACACATATTAAGTAAGATAGGCATATACACAACTGAGAAAAAAAAAAAACCAGTTAATTGAGTATAGTGATTCATTATTTATAATAATATGCCAATTTATGATATATATTTGATGCGGAGCACATAGTCCAGCTATCTTCAACAGCCTTCACACACATATCTAAAGATTCGTGTGTATGCATTTGTATTCGCATTCGCATTCGCATTCGCATTCGGTACATCAACGTCGACGTCGACGTCGACGCGTTGCCCCTTCGTCGGCGGAGTTGTTCGCAAATTACGGCAGTTGAAATTCTTAGCTCGCCGCGTTTAGTTCGCACCCTTCGAAATAGTACGGAATTAATTGACCAAGTTCATTTCGAAACTATAAAAATAAAACATAATACATTCAATTATAAAATGTGTCATACAAATACAAACACACACACTCGCACTCACACATACAAACGCAGAGAAGTCAACGCAAAGCGAAAATAAATCGCATTTGATTGATTGATGGAATGAGCCATCAGTGATAAGAAACGGCCAAAGAAATAAACTATAAAATGTAAGAATTGCATAGCGCGACCGATTATCAGTTCGATATAAATATCTATTTGTTGATGTGTGTGTGTGAAGTTCAAGTGCGTGCACCTTGAATACATTGAATTTTGGATAGTTTTTTTTGGTTAGATTTACCGCCCAGCAACCGGGCGTCATAAACCACCGCCCACTCCACACGTTCTTGGGAGAGTTTCAATAAACAAAAGCAATGGCTTCTGATCACGATTACGAACCTAGTGCTAATTCATCCATTGTGATTCACATAAAAATATATATACATATGTATATAAGAGTATATAGCCTGTGGTCGGCTTCAGGCCAGGCAGCTGCTGTGCAGATAACGATGCGTCGTGTAAAACGTTCAACATCATAAATTTATTTGCATACGATAATTTCTTTATTGTCGCCTTCGTATACATATTTATTTGCCATAGAGTAAATACAATATATAAAACATATATCGAGAGCACATTACAATCTTCGGGGTGCTCGACCAAGTCACCAGACCAAGGGAAGCAGCAGCAGACTCGATTCATGTTCAACTTGTTGTCGATGTCGATGTCGACAGCAGGCATCAGCTTTAGCCGACGTTGTCTTCCTTACAACTGTTCAAACAGTTTGTGTATTTGTGTGTATTTTCTTTTATATATTTTATTCAATATTTGAACTTTATTTTCATTTTGCCAACTTCTTGGCAATCATGGCATGCCATAATTAATTTTGTTTGCACTCTACTTAAGGCAATAATAACAACAACAACAACAACAACAACCACAACAACAGCAAATGGCGAATCAAACTGTGATAAAAACTGTAGTCTCTAAACACACGACGTTCAGGTAGGGTTATGCCGCGTTATAGGGCAAACAGTTGGGTCTCTTTATGGAATCAACAGTGTAGTGTGGAGGGGAAGTGTACTGTGCGATATATAATTTCTATGTTGAAGAATGTTAATCTCAATCATGTTGCTATAATATATATATAAATATAATAATATAATATATATATATATAATATATATATAAACTGTACATAGTACAGTTTGAGCACAACAAATCTATTACGATTTCAAGTCTTACAAAAACATATCGTATACTCCAAATAAATCACATTCAAATTTATATTTGTTCATTTAGCCAACTTTCGTATTACCCACACTAAACTAGCTAGATATGAGCTTGGAAGATATTTGAAAGTTTTCTTTTATGGTGTCTATTAATCTAATAAATCTATATACATTATATATACATTATAGTGTGATATGACTTGCTGGGTATCTGACAATGGGGACCCACTGTTCGATTGAGCTTTTTTCGGGCACTATCTTTGAATTTTTCGGGGGCATTTTACAATTTATTGGCTGTCACGCGGTAGTCCAGTTGACTTGTAGCAGTTTGATATGGCCGCGATTGTCGGCCACAAGATTTATGGCGATAAATGATGAATTGCAGACAAGTTGGCGGCAATCAAACGATTAATCTCTAGCCAAAGAACAAATTTTGGCACCACCCATAACTCGAGTGCCTAAATTAATTAATTTACAATCGCGTAAAAAAATCAGCGATTAGTAATAATAACTAGACATTAAGCGATTTATGTGCTCAAGTACACCAATTGAGAGATAAAGTCGGAGCGGCACTTTAGCTGCTTATCTGGCCAATTAGATCGAGTTTATTGATTGACCACTGTGGCGAAATGCCGATAGCCGAGGCTGACGAATCACAGATAACGGGTGTTTTCCCTTCTAAAATTATTCTATATTTAATGGCTGTAACAGAAGGAATTGATTCCGCTCAACTTTGGCTTATCTCTTACACAAATAACTGTTCAACTGGCAGCTACAGCCAATTGGCTTTAAAAGTATTGGTCGTAGATAAGCGTGGCAGAGCTTTCGAAGTGTCAGGCAAAGCTATTTTGCATAGATAAGAACAAATTATATGACTTCTAGGCACACGGCACATTGCTCTTGTGTATATTAGATATTGATTTTACTAGATTCATATTTGCCGTTAGTTAAGGGAGTTGGCTAAGGCTAATATAATTTGGAGTGATTCTAGTTCGAATGGGAGAAAATACTAATATTGGAATATTTTTGAACTCATATAAGTCGAGCTCATTGATAACAAATGGATGCATTAACATCTGCCCTCTGCTTTTCAGTTGGCCAAGCGGCGGCCTGGCAATAAGAATCGCCAGCGTAGCGCACCCAGCTACTTGGAGCAGCAGCTGACGAAGAGGGAGCGCATCACCAAGTTGCCATTAGTGGGTGCTTTGGTGCACAAGGCGCTCCAGGTGCGGGACACCGAGCCGTACGGAGCAGCTGAGCCGGCTGAGCAGCAGCAGCAGCAGCAGCAGCAGCAGCAGCAGCAGCCAGAGCGGACTGGGCAGTCACAGCAAAGCGAGCGCGCCGAGCAGCCGAAGAAGCCAGAGCAGTCAGCACAGCCAGAAAACGTAGAGCTCTCCAGCAACAACAACAACAACAACATTAGTAACAACAACTACAACAATAACAGTAACAGCAACAACGAGTGCAGTAACGTCGAGAACGAAGCAAATTCAAGCTGTAGGATGGTCTTGCCCGTCGGCCTTGGCCCCGACGGCTACAACGCCGACGCCATTCAGACTGCACCGGCGCCTAGTGCACCGCCGGCCCATTTGATGGGCCCGCCGCAGTACTCATTCGGGCAGACAAATATTTACACGGGTGTGCCCATCATTGTGAATCCCTACATCGATTTTATAGTGGTCAATGGCGAGGATCGCTACATGATACGCTGCGAGCGGAAGTCGGTGCTCGAGCGCAGCGTCGAGCTGGCCAAGCTAATTCACGCCGGCCCGAATAGCGGGCGCAAGAGCGACAACCACTTTCAGATATCCAATGTGGACAAGGACGATTTCGAGCTGATTGTGCGCTACATGGAAAAGCATTGCTTACCCTATCGCGACCACAAGCATCTGCTGAAGATACTCGAGCTGGCGGATCGCTTCAATGTGCCCGATCTGGTGAGTAGTGGAGAGGTGTGAGAGGCCAAGCTGTTGCCCTATAAATGTGTGCATTCTGTTTTATGGCCCACACAGATAATTTACTGCATTCGTGAACTTGATCTCAGCATTTCGGGTGCAACTGCCCTGGATATATACAAAGCGCTCTGGTTCTACCAGGGCATTGCGCTCACCAACCAGCACCAGACGGTGATGACCACACACAAGCAGGCGTCGAAGGCGAAGGCGGCGGCCAAGCAGGCGGCCCAGGCCCAGGCCCAGGCCCAGTCGCAGGGCAATGTGAATGGCGCCGAGGGTGATGGGGCACAAATGAATCTTATACCCAATCCGAATCCGTTTACCACCGAGGATTATGGCGTCGCGTTGCTGCACAACACGCTGCAGCTGATCGATATGCACGCCGAGATGGTGCTCACCATTCCGGACATTCTGGAGCTGCGCTTCGAGGAGCTGGAGACGCTGGCCAAGCGCAACACCCTGCAGCTGAGATCCGAGGTGACGCTGTTCGATTGCCTGGCCAACTGGAGTCTGGCGGAATGCCAGCGCCGAAAGATCGATGCCACCCCCGACAATCGCCGCATGGTGCTCGGGCCGCTCTGCCTGGCGCCGCGCTATCTCCGCATGACTCCGGACGAGTTTCGCAAATGCTGCGACCGCATCGAGCTGCTTCCCCCCCTGGAGACGTCCCTTATAAGCAGTGCTCTCGAGGGTGAGTGATGCTAAATTAAAATTGAAATTGAAATTGAAATTGCCATTTATAAGCTTAATCAACATCTCTATTCGATGGCAGGCCAAAAACTGAAGAACCTCACTGATCAGCAGGCGGAGCTGATGGAAAAGTTTCGCACACCACGCGCTGAATACGCCCGCATGCCAGTCCATCTGAGCGATCGCAGCTGCCCAAAGAACTATCCCAAAAAGATGCGACGCGCCCATGAGGGTCCATCCACCGAGGAGGGCTGCTGGGAGAAGGTGGGCATCAACTGCCTGCGCGTGTTCGTCTGCATTTTCGATTGATCCGACCGCGCAGATGATCCTCAATAGACTTTTTTCATTAACGAACATTAGCGCTTATGAGTTACATATATATATATATACATATACATATGTATATATATATTTATATATATATGTATTTATATATAAATATATATATATATATATATATATAAATATATATATATATATATATATATATATA